ATAGGTTGTATGGACACCTCGTCCTCCAACACAACATTAAAAGTTTCAAATTCTTGTGACTGGAAAAAAATTAAGTCTAAAGGTATTAAAACACTTTAAAACATTGTAATTTAATTTAAATTCTTAATAATATATTTTTAATTAAGAGGAGTTAAATGAATTAGAGAATTTACTGCAGCAGGATAAAACGGGGTTATTAGAAAAGGTATAAATAGTTGATTATAATAAATAATTATTTTTAAACGCAATATCTTATTTCCAGTACCAACAAATTCTGGCAGAATCATTAGTAGGAGGGACTGTTTACGAGTCGTCATATAAACTACTTCCTCAGGTGAATATTCAAAAGGGAGGGGAGAGGTTATTATACTTATCAACTGCTTCAATATTTTTTTTAGATAATGGATAAAAAGTTTCTTTTGAAACTCAGCCTCACAAGCGGATATGGGAGTAGTAGAACTAAGAAACCTGTCATCCTGGACACCTTCCCAAAAGTGCTCTCCTTAATTACAGGTAAGATTTCATTTTTAGAACTTTTATATAACCTCAAAATTAAAAATATAATAATCTAAGGTGTTTTCAACATAAGATGGAGAGATCAATTCACTTCTAACCCCCTCTTGGCACAACAACAATTTAGGACCGGAATGTCCAGATACTTACGGTAAGAGGAATAAAATAGTTTTAAAAAAATAAATAAATAATAATCGTCAAAATACATGCCACAGAAGTAACTTATTTAAGGAACATGCACTATGAACACCAGTGTCGAATAAAACCATCCAGGCAAGAAAATCAGCCCAGTCCAGATAAACACCCAGATACATCTAAGCACAGTAAAAAGAAAAGGAAAACCGGAGCCAAAGTAAGAAAATAAATTTAAATTGAAGATAAACTGCAGAACTAAAAATAAATCTGATATAATTAAATATAAAATTATAGACTCCGGACCACAGATCAGACGGAGCCGGAGATTCAGGTCCCTTGGAAGACAATGGATCACAAGCTCCAGGAAACCAAGACCAGCTAGTTCGTCGGAGCAAAGTAAGATAATTAATGAATTAATATTAAAAAAAAATTTGACAATTAAATAAAGATTTGATATTTAAGAAATAAATTCAATAATTTTCAAGGTGCCAGACTCAGAACCACTTACTTCAGGCCGCGCGGATAAACTGCAGAATTAAAAATAAATCTGATAGAATTCTATAATTATAGACTCCGGATCTCAGATCACAAGGAGCTGCAGGAGCTTCAGGTCCCTTTGAAGACAACGGATCACAAGCTCCAGGCAACCAAGACCAGCTAGTTCGTCGGAGCAAAGTATGATAATTAATGAATTAATATTAAAAATAAATTTGATTATTAAATAAAAATTTGATATTTAAGAAATAAATTCAATAATTTTCAAGGTGCCAGACTCAGAACCACTTACTTCAGGCCGCGCTTATAAACTGCAGAATTAAAAATAAATCTGATAAAATTCTATAATTATAGACTCCGGACCGCAGATCACAAGGAGCTGCAGGAGCTTCAGGTCCCTTTGAAGACAACAGATCACAAGCTCCAGGCAACCAAGACCAGCTAGTTTGTCAGAGCAAAGTGAGATAATTAATGAATTAATATTAAAAATAAATTTGATTATTAAATAAAGATTTGATATTTAAGAAATAAATTCAATAATTTTCAAGGCGCTAGGCGCCAGGCGCCAGAACCACTTACTTCAGGCCTCGCGGATAAACTGCAGACAGTGGAGGTTACCTCCAATCCTGGATACCAAAGACACAGCAAATGTTCCAAAGAATAATTGCCCATGTATTTAGGTGAGGAGCCTGTGTACTTGGACACATCTAAGGCTGATCATAAGATAACTAATTCTTGATCTACTAGATTGTGATGAAGTATTATCACCTATATTGGAGGCCACAAATGGAAACTTGGTCCATGACGCTGATCCAGTTCAATCCATACTACTCCAGTTGTCAAAACAAAACCTGAACAACTGGGGTACCATGTAGTTAAACTAGATCATGTAGATACTGTGGATACTGCAGATATGGTAGATACTGTGGATACTGCAGATATCAAGGATACTACAGATACTGTGGATACTGCAGATATTGAGGATACCACAGATACTGTAGATGCTGTGAATGCTGCAGATACTGTGGATACTGTAGATACTGTGGAGACAGGAGACATAGAGCAGAGTGATAGGGAGCAAGGATTGATCAGAAGATCACCAGTTGTATGATCTACAGAATAATTAGCTGAGACCACATTCAGCCCAGTAGAGAACAGAGGCTCAGCTGAACTACTGAGGGACTATTTAGACCATGGGAGTGTGGATTAGATTGGAAATCCTACCTGTTGGATACCTTGAAAACATGGGGCATTATGCTAGTTTTGATATAGTATTGTACCTGATAGGGAAGCTGGTTTACATGGTCATGAGCATAATCATGATATGTAAAAGAGGAGTCACATGAACCAAAGCTATCAGGCTCAACACGCTCCTACTGACAGAGTTCAGGAACAACCTCATCCAAGCCCTCAATGAACAAGAGAGAGGAACCATGGTTGAACCATCTAATGGAATTGAATAGAAGAGTTAAATAAAGATCCCATCTCTCTGGTGATGATGATAACTTAATCAGTTTAGCCATCCATGCATCAGGGGGCTTTTGTTGTATTCCGGACTGAACCAGAAAAGGGTGAACAGTCCCTTAGATACAATCAGAGATCGGAGAGACTAGATTGATTCAGTACAACTCGAGCCGCTGCAGTAAACACAAGTTTCCTGCATACATCTGCTCTGGGTCCTGTCCTACATACACCATACAGGATATTTATATATTTACAGTGAGTGCCCATGAAGATGAGCAGAGAGATATAGATGATGATGAATCCTGCATACCGAGTGAAGCCTGATGACGGATATGATGAAGATGCAGCTGAAGATGCATCTGAAGATGCAGATAAAGATGCAGCTGAAGATGCAGCTAAAGATGTAATTAAAGAGGATGAGGATGCAGCTGAGGATGAGAGTGAGTCAGAGGATGAAAGTGTCCCCAGCCTGGAGACTGACCTCTCATCAGATGATGACCAGATCAACATTCCTGGAACAGAAGGAAGGAGTTCTATCTTGAGAGATCATGTGGATCATGAGGGTCAAGATTATCCTAAGCCCTTTAATGAACAGGCACTTACTCCACCTAATCTCCCTAGTATCTGGGATCCTCCTGGACGTCATGGAGCCCAGTTACATGAGTTCCTCCATTCAACCAGGGAGAAGATATTGGACCGTTTGTTTGTGCAGGTTCTGAGGATGAAGAGATATCTGGAGGAATAACGCAGGTTAAACTTGATCCCTGAGTATGAGGTATTATTAGAGGGTTTATCCCTCCTTAAGATGATGGGATCCAAGCTTGATTGCAGAGATCTCAAGAGATCCTGCTCATGATGCTAAATAAGACCAAATGAATAAGACCAAATAAACTGACTGAATGTATATTTATCAAAAACAGTATTTATACTAGATGCAGTATATCATAATCTAAACAATAACATGTGAAGTATGGAATATGCTGTGTACTGCATTCCAATCCAGGGGCGCCACAGGGGTCCCCCCAGCATCGAGGTGATGAAGTTGATGAAGAGCTCGATGTTTATCTCGGACTTCTCTTCGAGGGTTCCGTCGAACTGGGAGAGGNGAGAACGGAACAGAAATAACAGATAAAGTTGATGAACGTCTGAGTACTTCAATCTTTGGGCAGGACTGCTGTAGGATAGACATTTCGGAGAACGATATTCCTGGAACTGGAGGCGGAGTTTGGATATCAAAGTCGTTGGCGGAGGATTGTTTGGAACATCGCTTGACTCTGGACGGGACAGGGCATCAGCAACTACATTCTCCGGACCAGGAAGATGAAGGATCTCACAGTTGAACTGAGACAGGAACGATAATCTCCTTTGCTGCATGGCGGACCAGGGCGGAGATGTTCTAAACAACGCATATGTCAATGGTTTGTGGTCAGTGAACAAAATAAACTGTCTTCCCTCTAGCATGAAGTGGAAGTGGCGGAGAGAAGAGTAGGCAGCAAACAATTCACGGTCGAAGGCGGAATACTTGCATTCTGGGGCGGATAATTTCTTGGAATAAAACGCCAGAGGGGCCCAGGAACCGGATACTTCTTGTTGTAAGACTGCTCCAACATGAGATCCAGAGGCATCCTTGGATAAGGATATCCTGGCGGAGGGATCAGGGTGAACCAGAGTAGGAACATTTGCCAGGATGGATTTGGCAGCTGGGAAGGATTGGTTCATCTCTAGGTCCCAGGTTAGAGTTGAAGATTTACCTTTGAGAGCCTCAGTTAAAGGACGTAGGAGACCAGCTGCAGCCTTGATAAATCTTCTGTAGAAATTGAGAATCCCTAGAAACCTCTGTAAACCCTTCTTGTCTGTTGGACAAGGGAAGGCGGAGATAATCTCGGTGTGCTTCGTCAGGGGAATACATCCTGAACCTGAAACCCTCATACCAAGGAAGTCCACTGCAGGAGCTGCAAAAACACAGTTGTCAGGGTTGATACTGAGTCCATGGAGTTGGAGAAGATCAAGCATGGTCTGAACATGTTCAAGGTGAGAGCTGAGGTCGGGGCTGGAGATAAGGACGTCATCCACATATACAAAAGAGTAAGGAAGTCCTTGAAAAATCTGATCCATCAATCTTTGGAAGGTGCATCCGCTGTTTCTGAGACCAAACGACATCCTCAACCATTCGAACAGGCCAAAGGGGGTGATCACCGCTGTCTTAGGCACATCTCCAGGAGTCATTGGAACTTGATAATACCCCTTGGTTAGGTCCAGCTTAGTGAATACCTTGGAACCATGAAGTCGAGATGAGAAATCTGCAATATTAGGAAGGGGATATCTATCAGGAACGGTTTGAGTATTCAGGGGGCGGTAATCACCGCAAGGTCTCCAGGAACTATCAGGCTTCTTTACCATGTGCAAGGGACTCCCCCACGGAGAGGAAGAGCATCGTTTATCCCTGCAGACTCCATGGCCGCAAACTCCTTCCTTGCGGATTCCAGCTTTTCTGTGTCAAGACGGCGGGCTTTGGCAAAAACTGGCGGGCCAGGGGATGTGGGGACGGTGTGGCGGACTGGATGCCTTGGATCTGTGGTGAAAAAACCTTTGGAGGAGACGACATCAGGATATTCGGACAGGAGATCAGGGAACTCTTCAGGGGTAGAAAGGAGAGCAGCATAGAGACCTGATTTGCTGTTGACTGAATTAGATGAAACGGCGGGTATTGGTTCTAGGGTCGAGGAGTCAAGGAGACGAGAACCTGCAACGTCAACCAGAAGGTGATTGTGGCGTAGAAAATCTGATCCCAAAATCAACGTGGACACGTTGGCTAGCAAAAAATTCCACTCAAAACGTCTGGAACCGAACTGTAGAGCTAAACAGCGGGAACCATAAGTGTCCATGGGGGATCCGTCCGCGGTTCTCAACTGAACACCAGAACCTGGAGCTGAAGGTGATCGGGGAAGGTGAGGGAACACTGACACAGAAGCACTGGTATCAACGAGGAACGTGGCGGAGCTGAGCTTGTTCTTGAGGAATAAAAGGGGTGAGGAGTGGGTTTCGGCGGGAACCATGTTTACAACATCCCCGCCGTTAACTAGTTTCCCGAAAAAGAACATGGCGACCTGCACTGGTTAGCCTGGTTTCCCCACTTGCGATGATACCAGCACTCTGAGGAGGTAGATGAGGATGTAGATTGCCCTGGACTGCTGGTTCTAGTGCGACTAGAAGAGGACCTGGTTCTGGAGCTTCGAGATATCAGCGATACATCCTCCATCAGTCTGTAGTCTTGAGACGAAACTGCATGGACGGCATTAACTCTTCCAGGACGGGTGTCTGCTCTGGTAGCCATCCGTCTAGGGTCAGCAATCGATTCTGTCAGTAGATGGGAACGAATATCTGCAGGGAGATGATCCATAAACAGGCCTCATCTTCAGGGAGGAGTACTAACATTTTATCCATGAGTTCTGAGGGTCTTTGATCAGTCAGAACTGGGATACCCTGGAGAGCCTGATACCTCTGGAAATTACTGAGAGTGTACATCTGGATAAGGCGGGTTCTCAGGGTTGCATAGGGATCTGAAGTTGGATTACGGATCAGATCTATGAGGTGAGTGGCAACGTCCTGGGGAAGGGCTGCAACACAGTGGTGAAACTTGGTTAGAGAAGTCGTCATGCGCTTGATCGCAAACTGGGCCTCAGCCTGGAGGAACCACACCTCGGGGGAGTCCGTCCAGAAGGTGGGAAGCTTGATGGATACCGTGGTGAGGGATAACTGACCGTCAGGGGGTGAAGATACCTCATTATTGGTTGTCATTGCTACTACGCTGAAAAAGAACACTCTATTATCGGAACCTTACTTTGGTGTTGTATGAAAAGAGCAGGGACTCGGTAGAAACCAATTTTCGGGCGCTTCAACAAGAGGATTTAATTCCGACAAAAGAATCACGTCGGGGTCACCAAAATGTAGCGACAAAAGGAATAAGACCAAATGAATAAGACCAAATAAACTGACTGAATATATATTTATCAAAAACAGTATTTATACTAGATGCAGTATATCATAATCTAAACAATAACATGTGAAGTATGGAATATGCTGTGTACTGCATTCCAGGAATCCAGGGACGCCACAATCATTCTTATTCATTTGATAAGGTCCCCAGGGATCTTGATCTAATACTTGAGCTAATAAATAAGGATCATGGCCAATACTCATTTGACTTTATAACAGTATCATATTAGTAATATGTTTGTGCAGATTAAAATTATATAATAAATACAAATGTACTAGATTATTGTTTTATTTATTGGGATGGAACAAGGTTACAAAGATATGGGAAATATCGGGTATCAGACCGCTCTAGGACTGGAACTTAAAGATATGACCTTGTCTATTATTTTGTATATACATTGTTAGTAGAAGATCAATGACGGATCAACCAAACTTAATGAGTTGGTCCCAGAAAGATTAGTATCGGTTACCTGAGCTAGATTGTAGTATTTTTCGGGATACTACACAATGGAATAGCAAGACGACATTACAACAATACTTAAGTGTATTTGAAGTTTTTACAAAGCAAATAGTTTTACAAACCGAACTAAACTGAATCATCAATTTAGGGAAATGTGACTGTTTACACTGCACACTTACTGTGTCTTTTATCTTATTTGATTCTCATCGGATCATTAATTCTAAAAGTCTTCTTCATATATCAGAATTTTCTGGTTATCACTGTACTTGTTTTTAGTTTTCAGATTTTATTAAGCAATTGGCAAAATTCTCATAGATTTTCACGTCTGAACTTGGAAGTTGCAATCTAGGCCAGAAAAGAAAGTATAACACAAATCTACATTTTAAGGAACTTTACACGTACGTAATTTCAATTGAGTATTTGTAGCGTGACATGTCAGAGAGATAAACATGATGTTCTCTTTCAAAATTGATTATTTTCATTCATTTTCATTAGAAAATTTGAGTTTGTGGCAAAGACTGAATTTCTTTGTTCTCAATGGTGGAAAATTTTAGATTACGACTTAAAGTTAAGATTTGTACTGTGTACAGGGTGCCCCAATAAAATGGGATTTAAATGTCGACTTGAAAATCGTTTTCTATTTCCGTTAGTTGGTAATGGTAAATGACATTATAAAGCCTCAACATTGAGATTTTGAAAATGTGGTCTGCTTTCTTTGTATCTTTAAAATTGATGGAGATATTAAACATTTGTAAAATTTCTTTGTGATTTAATAATTTAGAATCTGGACATATTTCTTAATATCTCCGTTAGTTTTGAAGTTGAAAATATGGTAGACCACATTTTTTAATTCCCGAGACTAGTAGTTTTGATAATTAACTGACCTAACAGAAATACTATAAAATATGTGTTCAAGTAAATATACCACACGAAACAAAGACGCTATAGAAGTCGTCACTTAATTTCCATGTTTATTGGGACACCCTGTATCATAGTTTCAGCCGTCCATCTTGTCTGATATGGGTTTAATTTGAATTTTATAGATTTTAGTAGAATATACAGGGTTACCCACAAAGGATGAGACTTCAGAGACGACTGTACAGAATTCATACCGTCTGTTTCCTTATATATTTATTATCCTCTGCAACCATAAACTTGTTTCTTTATTTCTCTAATCATTGAATAAGCCATTAGATTACTTTATATATTGCAGAATACATAATTTTACCTTGGGAACCCCACAATTTTAAAGTTTCAGGCCGTCTTCACAGTCTCATCATTTCTAGGTAACCCTGTCTATATGGTAATGAGCGCAATGAATTTTTAACTTTATAAAACATCTAGAGTTTATAAACGTTATCAGTATGCATACTTAAGTTTTATTGTTTTTTACTGTCCTTAAACCATAAACAAACTCACAAGAAGCTTTAAGCTCTACCAACATAAATTGTACGTATTATAAACTTGAGTATAATCCGCATTTCAGAACAAAGTTCACTTTCATAACTTAAATAATAAATTTGGTAACTTGACAATTTGGTAACTAATAATTTGGTAACTTGCCAATTTTGTAACCTAACAATTTTGTAACTTGACATTTGGTTTACAATAAAATTCTAAAATGAAATAAGCAGGACTATTTAAAGATTTATGATTCACCAGGTTTATTAAACTTTCATATATCATTTACTTCATTTAAATAGGGGGCCGAGCGTTAAAGCCATATTTATAATACTTAAAAGTACAGTGGTCCGCAGAAAGTTTTAATTACAGCCGAGTTTGATTGCATTAATTTAGCTATTTAAAGTGTTACAAAAAAATAATCTGAAAAAAATAAGATAAACCTGACTGAAGCCTTTTGGAGCAGTTGAGAAGGTTCTGTCTCTAGACCAATTTCTATAAGTGGACAATAAATGCTGACAAGTACACAAGAAATACTTTCTCCTCAGACCCATCCATGTAGTCAATTTTACGAAGAAAATCTCCACCATCAGCTGTCATTTTGTATTTCGCTGGCATCAAGGTACTAAAGCAAGGAAAGTTAATTGCGGTTGTGTATACTCTGCGTACATGTTGAAACCAGTTCTCTCTGGGCGGAATTTGGAAACAAAAATAGATGCATCAGTGTTCGTCTAGTATCCGAGGAGGTTAAAAGCATTTAATTTTGAAAATTCACAATAGTTTCCTATGACCAGAATTTGTCATAGATTATTTTTGTGAAAATGGATTCTATGTCAGGCTGTGGAATCCGTCTTGTGTTTACTTTTCCGCCCAAAGACAGTACACTGCAGTACAAAAAATGCGTACACCTCTGAAATAACTTTCCTTGCATTAGTACCTTAGCTGGCATAGTGAAAAACTCCAAACTTTCTTTTGGAATGCATAGCCGGCCCTGTAAACATGTATTAATCATATAAAAAAAGTATTTTGATATTTCGCATGTCATTAAAGCAAGACTAAGGAGCATTATACATTTTGAAATTAACACAGAAAATGTATTACACATTAATGTTTTAGTTAAGACAAACCTCTGATTTCTGTTTGGTGTAACGAGCCATTCTCATAATTGATTCCTTTTTGGGAGCAGTGTTCATCGAGGCGTCAGGGGTGTTTAGGAGATTTTAAATTAAATTCAAATACTGAATAATGTGATTTTTTTTATAATTTAAGAAGACCAAAATACCTTTACAGTAAGATCAGCGAATATATTTCTAGTCCCTAGATCAGGGTTTGCAGCCGCATTTTTGAGAACATCTTTGATCACGTTTTTAGTCCGCTACATTATTATGATTATGAATACCAGTTTGTTCAAAGGAACAAGGAACCTTTAAGTGATGAACTATAGCAGGACATCCTTCGTTCTCCTTTTTATATCTCTTACAAAGGAAAAGACTATAGTCCGGTGTATTATTTTTCATGTAATACTGAAATTATTGAGAATCCTACATTATTACACCTCCCCTCGATGTTCGCAGAAACTTGTACCCTGCCATTTTTAGATGAGAGATTGTAAAGTTTACAAACAGTTTTAGCGGATTTGTCATACTGAACTTTTAAAGGGACCGTTCACTTTTTTGGGTAATTTCAGGGTAAACTAAACAGCCTA